CATAGGTGGACTTCAATTCCCAGAATTCTCCAGCCAGCATGCATGGACCAACTCCCCAAATCCCCCATCTAGCATAGGTGGACTTCAATTCCCAGAATTCTCCAGCCAGCATGCATGGACCAACTCCCCAAATCCCCCATCTAGCATAGGTGGACTTCAATTCCCAGAATTCTCCAGCCAGCGTGCATGGACCAACTTCCAGAATCCCCCATCCAGCATGCGTGGACTTCAACTCCCAGAATTCCCCAGCCAGCCATACTGTTTGGGGAATTCTGGGAACTGAAGTCTTTTAAGTCTCTTAAAAGTCGCCAAGGTTGAGAAACGCTGCTCTAAAGCACTTTGTTTCGTGTGCAGCCTCCGTCTGTGTAGCCCGGACATCCCAGAGAGCTCCCGCAGAAGGCTGCTTTTCACACGCTAATAGGAGCCACCTTTGGCTCTCATGCTTCACGCTGGGCGTCTCCCCTCACGCAAGGCGGTCATCTCCCATCCGTTTCCAGCGAGCACCATGCGTTTGTTTCCTCCAGACGGAGCACAGGGCGGGAGAGAGGCTGGGAAAGCTCCCTTGCCAGAACCAGAATGTTTTCCCCTTCAGATGTTCAGTGCTCCGGGTCACAAAGGTGAGGGTGCATCACTCACCGTGTGAGGATGGGATGCTTAAAAACAGGCCAGAATCGGGTCCGGGAGGGGAGGGGAGGGGAGGGAAGGAATGCTGCGACCTGAAATTGTTCAAATATCTGGCACAGGGCATAACTGGGGTTTTTCAAGAATGATAGATTTGGCAGGGAATTGAGGACCCCCCCTTATCTCTGCAACTGCGATTCATCCCATCTCTCTGGCTTCTAAAAACTCACCTGGCCCGGCTGAGGCCTTTTAATGTAATTTTGCAGCTGAAAGGGGTAGAAGTTGACTTGGGATTTGGTTTGCCCTGAACAAGGCTTCACCAGGCCCGCTCAAGGACCCAGGGAAGGCTTTGGCACGATGTATTGCTCTTATTCAGTTTCCACATTTCGAGGGAAGGGAGAGGCTTGGTGCATGGCGTGAACCTAGTTTGGCGCTTTTATGATTCCATTATTGCATAAATACAAAAACGGGATTAACTCCCTGTGTGTGTTCTCCCTACCGGTGCTCCCTTTAGCACTTTTTATCTATTTATGCAATCTATATACCGCCTTCCAAAAAGCTCTGGGCAGCAGACGCAGCACTCCCTCCTCCTATTTTTCCCCCAACAACATCCCAGCGAGGTAGGTTGAGCGGAGAGGAATGACTGGCTCAAGATCACTCAGGGAGCTTCCGTGGTTGGATCCATTATACCTGGATCTTCTGTGTGTTAACTGTGGCACATTTCTGCTCTTTTGCAGAATTACTTGGCATCTACCAATCCTTTATGTACCGTGAGCTGCGGAAGAGGAAATATCTAGGAGACAGCCTGGATGAATTATGTGGGTTGGAAGTACACTTAGAGCAGTGTTTCTCAACCTTGGCAGCTTGAAGATGGGTGGACTTCAACTCCCAGAATTCC